AGTCATTATATTGTTTTTAATCAAAGATTTATAATTCTCTCTTTTGTATATGAAATTTTTACTTCTTAAACTTTTTTAATATTTCATTGTAGATTGTAAATACTTAAGTCATCCATCCATGAAAATATAGAGCTTGAACTAGAATTGTAAGTAATTCACTCAAGCTTTTTCCTGGATGAATTTCATTTATAAAATAAAATTCAGGTGCTTATAATACCTATTAATAAAGTTGTTTCATTTATTTAAAACCTAAAGGTATTAATTCCTTGTTTAAATAATCAAGAGTCTTCTATTTAACATTCTTTGCTAATTAAGTAATACAAAATTAATCCAAAATTTCATAATGATAACAAACCTATTAATATTTATTAAATAATCTAAGCATCATAATAAGCGGTCTATAAACATTAATTTCAATCTAATCAGTTTCTATTTATTCATGTAAATTATTCCAATTAATTAAGTTCAATACAATATCAATATTAGCTCGTAATTTCTATTTAAGCGTTTATGCTGCAGTCTAAAAATACTTTAAATTTTCATTTTTGTTAGCTAAATCTTTAGCTAATTCATACTATATAATGTTTTTTCTAGAAGAAATATACCAGTTTTTTATAAAATCCATTACAAAATTATTACATTGTTTTAAAATATCTGCACACTATTCTTAATTTAAATAAATCTATAATTCCTAGAAATGATAATATATTGAATTCTCATTCAATAGAGTAATTTATTCCATCAATTATATTCTTAGAGAGCTAAAAATGCACACTTTAAGCTTCAACATCATTTTAGAACATTATTTTAAATGCTTATAGGGATATGTCAACATTTTATAAATTTCATGATACATAAACTATTAAATTAATAAAATTTACAGTATCTTCCTAATTGAATTCTTACCTTGATAGGTTAAACTTTGAAATTCTCAAAAATACCTTACCCTTTCAAATTTTCCTATAATTTATAAAAGTTATTCAAATATTTTAATTCTCCTGAGTTTAGATTTTCTTTTAATTCATCAAAATAAGTTTCTTTAGTTATATTTTTGTTAAATAATAATTTCTATTAGGACTTTTGATAATTTTCATTATTTAATATAGTTGCGAAATTTTGAAATTCTCCTCTCATTCATAAATAAGGTTTGGGATGCTGATATTTAGGATTCCTATTCTTTTATTCTTTAGCTATATTCTTAGTAAATCCTTAAATCTTAAGAATTAACTTTTGGATTAGATTTCTTGTCGAGATTTACTTTTATATGTATCGAACATTACGCCAAAAATAATTTTATGAATTTTATTCGGATTTCCATATTCTGATTGTTATTTTGGTGCTGCTATGATTCTAACGGGTTATTTTATTATTGTAATGGATTCATTTAAATGTTCAATGAAACCTTATAAAAAATAATTAAATATAAATATTTTTCCTAATCATAATTAATTGTTTAATTTTAGGAATTTTTATTTCTAAATTCATATAAAAAATAAGTTCAGTTCCTCTACTGAGTAATCTATTTTATTCAAGTAATCAAAATATACAAATATAGCAGATTCAACACCATGTGACTGCTGAAATAAATCTACTAATGGGTAATCCAACTTTTTAATTAGTGTTCAGGAAGAATATACCATAAATACACAATTAGGCTCAAATACACCATTAATCTCTATTATGTATAATTTTAAATTTATATGAAACAGAATAAATGATCCTTTTTCTTAAATATTTTTTGTAATTTTATAAAATATTTTTTGGTTTCATATTACATAAAATCCCTTTTTAGTTTCAGGAAACACCATAAGATTAAACAATGAATGATTAGAATACTAGAAGTAGCTAAATTCTTGCTTATACCCCTTAAATAAATTAAATAATAATTTCATTTACAAATAAAAGACACACTACCTTCACATATTATCCAACAGGAAATACATAACATAATTAAAAGCTGAATGATCCTAACCTAAAAAAATGAAATATATATAGCCACAAATAGTAGTTTTTTTCTTTTTTTCGTTTTTTTTCCAATATATAACTTAGTATAAATGTAATAGAAATTCAATATTTATTTATTTTCAATTATGGACTGCATTAATAGCTAGAAAGAAGATCTGTATAATGTTTTGGCTTAAGTTAATTAGATTGATGAATAAATATTCAGCTATATAATTGATATGTTTAGAAAATAACAAATATCTGATAGCTTACTATATTTCTCAATAGACATGAATCAAAAACATATTGAATAATTGATTTTCTCATCCTAGGATATGAAATAGAATCTAATTTTTGTAAAAAATAACATTAAAAAATAATATCGAATACTCTAAAATTAATTAAGGATCATGACTTTAATACCAATAATTATTCACTTAAACAATACTTAAAATTTAAAAAAGGTATTGTGAAGAAAATTATTAAGAATCACAAAATCATTTAATTTTTAAAATTTTTAGTTCATCTAACAGCCTTTGATAATCAATTTAGGGTATGTGGATCAAATTCTTTGAACTTATTAGTTGAAATGAAGATTAATTTAAGTAACTCATGTTTTGAAGATATCAAAATTTAGAATGCCTCTATAGTTGGAGGTAATTTTGTAAGATGTAATTTGAGTGGATCGGAATTCAATAATGTAGATATTAGTGGAATGAATTTGAATGGAGCTCTACTCGTTGGTTGCTAATGGATGAATTTAAAAATCCATGAATTGAATAAATTTTAAGGCCATAATGGAGTTCCACTATCAATCTTTATGTCACCAGATGGTACTACTTTAGCATCTGGTAGTTCAAATTCGTACATTATATTATGGGATATTCAGACAGGAATTTAAAAAGCTACATTGTAAGGTCATTTAGATTGGGTCAAATCAGTCTGTATTTCACCTGATGGTACTACATTAGCGTCTGGTGGTGATGATAAATCTATTCGTTTATGGAATATAAAGACTGGATAATAAAAAGCAAAATTGGAAGGTCATGACAGTTGTGTAAAATCAGTCTGTATTTCTCCTGATGGTATAACTTTAGCGTCTGGTGGTGATGACTAGAAAATTCGTTTATGGGATGCTAAAACTGGATTATAAAAAACATAATTTGAGAATCAAAGTTCAGTCTGGTCAGTATGCTTCTCTCCTGATGGTACTTTATTAGCATCTGGTAGTAATGATAACTCTATCCGTATATGGGATGTTTAGATAGGATCACTAAAAGCAAAATTGGATGGTCATACTAGTTATATACAATAAGTATGTTTCTCTCCTGATGGTACTATACTAGCATCTGGCAGTGGAGATAGATCTGTACGTTTATGGGATTTGAAGACAGAATAGTAAAAATCCAAATTGGATGGTCATACTAATTTTGTCTAGTCAGTTTGCTTCTCTTATGATGGTACTTTACTAGCATCTGGTAGTAGTGATAACTCTATCCGTTTATGGGATATTAAATTAGGATAGCAAATAGCGAAACTTGATGGTCATGATAATACAGTCTATTCAGTATGTTTTTCTAATGATGGCACCACGTTAGCTTCAGGTGGTGGAAATCCATATGGAAGAGGGGATTGTTCTATCCGTTTATGGGATATTAAGTTAGGATAGCTAAAAGCCAAACTGGATGGTCATTGTAATACTGTTTACTCATTATGCTTCTCTCCTGACGGTACTATATTAGCATCTGGTAGTGGAGATAACTCTATACATTTCTGGGATGCTAAGACAGGATAATAAAAAGC